AAGGTGTAAGCAGTTTGGAAAGGTAGGAAGAGGCAAGGTTTATGAAGGGCTGTAGAAGAAGATTTTATATTTTATCCTAGAGGGAATAGGGAGCCACTGGTGTTGACTGAATAGGGGAGGGCTGACATGGGCAGACCTGAGTTTTAGGAGTATCACTTGGGCAGCTGAATGGAAAGTGGATTGGGGTAGGGAGGGACGAACCTGAAGGCTATTGCAATTGTCCAGGACAGAGATGATAAAAGTGTGGACTAGGGACATGGTCATAGGAGTAGGTAAAAGTCAGTGCACGTGAGATATATTGTGAATGTGGAAACCACAAGACAAGGCCAACAGATTATGTCACATGGGATGAAGGACAGAACACCAGAAGTCATGGATGCCACAGAGGCGGCTGTCCTGGATCAAAGAGGGCAAGAGAGGAGCAGGAAGGAGGGAAGGGGCAAGAAGACATCTCCTTTGTCTTTATTTCAGAAAGCCTTAACCAGCCTTGAATTTGTCCCAACTCTTGAATCAAGCTGACCATTGGGACAAGTGCCTGATATTCCTGCTTGGATAGCTGCTTTCATCTATTCATTCCTGGTAGGAAGCTGGTGGTAGAACTACCATTCTCTGACTGATCTCTGGACAGGAATGCAGATAAAGAACAGTGATGGTTTCCAGGAACCAGGGTTGAACCTAGGACCAAGCAGCAGCCTACAACGGTGTAGTTAAAAGAATAGATCTTGGTCTGAAAGGAGCATCCATCACATCTCATCCAGCTCCCTCATTTTACAAAAGGGAAACTGAGGTCCGTTGTCCAAGGTCATACAACTATTAGAAAAGCCAGTTTCAAATTCAGGTGTTCTCATTCAAAACATACCGCACTTTCTCCTACACCAGAGACAAGGGCCTATCCAGCTCCAATGTTCTATGACTGTGTAATGTGGCTAAGGGTCTACCCTTTCTTCCCCTGGTTATCTCACAGGCATGACCTAGACTAGCAGTTCTCAAAGTATATTCCAAGGAGTCATGGGAGTCTCCAAAACTCTTTTAAGGGGTCCATGGAGTTAAAACAATTTTTATAACACTAAGATATTTTAATTTCTAATATGATAACTATTGTTAGATATAACCCATATAAACAAAAGAACTTGGGGGGCAGGGTTCTCAATAATTTAAAAAGTTTACCAAAAAGTTTGTCGAGATTGGCATAGGCAACTCAAGAGCCTTCCTCTGAGGAATGGAAGGAAAAGACCCAATGTTGGTTTGGTCACTGGCTGTACCTGCTCACCCACAGGATGATCCATCAGTCTAGGCGACAGAATAGCACTTACTGCGTCTGAGTGGACGTAGACAAGGATTCCAGTTGTCACCTGGGCCACAAGGATCAGAAGGAGGGCAGCAAAGTACTGGAAAGGTAAAGCAATGAATATGAGGGGTGGGGAACAACAAAGGATACCCCAGTTAGCATACGTCAAAGCCACAGTATATAGCATCTATAAAGATCTAGGGCCAGAAGGAACCTGAAAGCCCACCTAATTGGCCCTCTTCATTTTACAGGTGAGGCAACTGAGGCCAAGGGAAGTTAAGTTCACAATGACAGGGCTAGCCTAGCCAGAACATTGATGTGACCATGGTGTGTAGGACATTATATTATATCTCATGAGACAAATCGACCTAAATTCACAAGGACGTCCTTTCATTGAGGTGTGTGCTGAGCACAGGACAATGGGCAAAGGCCAGTCCTGCTAAAATCAGCATCCAGGCCTTCCATAATGGAATGCAGTAGAAGACAAAGTAGGAAGACAAGAGCGATGTCTTGGCTTACAGGGGAAGGGTCCCCATCAGGGTTATCACTCACCAGCCCCAACAGGCATCGGATCTCATTGATTGCACCAACACAACCCATGAAGCCCACGATCATGGTCACGGCTCCAACCCCAATGAAGATGTATGCCCCAATCTTCAGGATGCTTGAGGTCTCTGGGAAGAGAAGAGAGTATGATCATTCCTTCCCTAGTTTTCCCCCAAACTCAAGTCACTCCAGAATCAAGAAAGAGGGACCCAAGGGGATACCCATGTGAAAAATCATATGCTTTCACTTGTAGAGTGAATACTCTTCATGGCCAACATGGCCCCTACATGGATGTTATCATGTTTGGTGTTTGCAACCCTACAGGTAGCAAGGCAGGGATTATTATTGCCCAGTTCACACCAGAGGAAATTGAGATTTGGATTAAGTATCTGGCCTGCAGTAGGTACTTAATAGATGATTATAGAATGAATGAATCCATCAATCAAAGTGACTTGCCCAAGAGAACAATAACAATGATGATAGTTGAATCTAGGTCTCCCAACTTCACAGGGAGGTTAGGACCCATCAAATTCTGAGATTCCATGGTCCTATGAAAACAAGGAAAGGCAAAATGGCCTAGTGGATAGGGAGCAGGCCTCAAAGTCAGGAAGACTTGGGTTCAAGTCTCACCTCTGATCCATCTTGACTGTATGACACCAGCCAAGCCCTTTAACTTTTCAGTGGCCTAGCCAACTAAGACACTGAGTTACAAAACAGTTGTCTGTCTGCAGTGGAGGAGGAAGTTTCCCAACTAGGGAATTTCCTACCCCAATGAAGTCATAGGTTAAATAATTTAAATGGACGGTTCTATAGTGGAAAAGACACTGGGTTGGGGAGTTAGGAATATAGAATCTGAGAGCTAGACAGGACCTCCTACAGCATCCAGGCCAACTCACTTATGACCAAGGATTTCACCCACAGCATTCCAAATAAGTGGTGAGCCAGGCTCTGACTGAAGACTTCCAGAGAAGGGGAACCCACTATTTTGGGAGGCAAGCCATTCCACTGTTGGACAGCATTTATGCTTCATTTATTTCTTTAAAAGATGGCTCTGAAGCTTTTCCTACCACAGTCAGTTGCTTTAATTAATTACTTGGGGAAGGGACATTCTCTGGCTATTCTATGGGTTTTTACACTTGGGAGCTTTTATCTCCTGCCCATCCACCATCAGTGACAGTCCCCTATGCCTAAAATGCTCTCTCCCCTCCACCTCTCAAGTTTCCCTGGCTTCTTTGAAGTCAGCTCAAATTCCATCTTCTTCAAGAGTCCTTTCCCCATGTCCCTCATACCTCCCCAGATACTGATGCCTTCCCTTCTAAGGGGCACTTCCATCTACTCTGCATGCAGCAGAGTAGGTAATAAATTATAGAGGCAGAATTTAAACCCAGGTCTTCTGACTCTGAATCCAGGGCTCTTTCCACTCAGGACAATAAGACACCAACACTTCACTAGATGATTAAAAATTTGAGAAAAATTTAAGGCAATGAACTATGTGAGGTCAGAAGGGAAGGTCATTCCTGGATTTGGGGGGTGGGGTGGAGTCAGGGAAGGCTATCTGCAGCAGGTGACATTTAAATTGGAATCTATAAGATGGGTAGAAACTCAATGGGCTGAGGGAAGGGAGAGGGCATGGGGGATGAGCCAAGACATTAAGGACGGAGAAGGAAGTCTATGTCCCACAGGCAGCAACTTGACCAATTTAGCAGGTCCAGAAAGGAGAATAATATGAGTGGAACTGTAAAGATAGGTGGCCCATCAGATTGTCAAGGGTTTTGAATATCAGGCAGAGAAGTCTGAACTTTATTCTGAAGGCATCAGGGAACCACTGAGGATTTTGAGTATTAAATCTGTATGTAACGATCATAATAATTATTAGCATCTATCTAGAGCTTTAAAATTTGTGAAATGCTTTACAAATGCTATCTCATTTAGTGGTCACAACAACCCTGAGAGGTTAGTGCTATTACAATCCTCGTTTTACAGATGAGAAAAAGGAGGCAGACAGAGGTGAAGTGACTTGTCCAGGGTCACACAGTTAGTACATGTCTTGAGGCCAGATTTGAACTCAGGTCTTCCCTTCTCCAGGTCCAGTGCTCTATCTACTGTGAAATCTAATTGCTTTTGAGAAAGAAGGGGATGAGGGTGAAAGAATGCAAGAATGCATTTGTAATTGGTCATGAGCTTGTATTTGGATGGTTCCAGTGGGAATGGGGAGGAGGGGAGGGGTTTGAGAGCTGGTTTAGAGATGGAATCAACATGACTTGGCAACTTGATGCCAGGCGAGGGAGAGAGCTCCTCTTGGCCAACTGCACCAAGAAGGCTGGTGTAGTCACAGGATACCCTTGGGGCAGAGGACGCCATAATTATGCTCCCCCAACCCAGAATGGGGCCAATCCCCATTGGTGGCCCACAAAGGGTAGGCTCCAGTCTGCCCAGCCCACAGTGAAGTTGCTACTCTATATTCACTCATCAACTCAGCCCCAGGCTAGTCTGTTTAGCTGGCGATGACAAGCTGCCTATCTGCCTCCCACCTAGCTCCCAGGAAAGATTCATGAGGTCAGTGCTTGTTTGAGATATAGGGCTCATCAGATGAAAGAGCCTGAAGAGACTGTGAGGAGACAGAAAGCTTAGGAGATGTGCCTCAGTTTCCCTATTTGTAGGTCATGGGAGAAGAGTCTTTCGATGCTTTAAATCTTTTGCCCCAGGTGAAAGGTTAATTAGCAGATACAAGGATCAGATGAAAGGCCTTAGTGACAGCATTAATGATGATGACAGGGCTTTCCCACCCCAAACGGGCAGCTCAGGAAGGAGGGAGGCAACCCAGAAGAGGAAACGTCTGCACACAGGAGACAAACTGGTCACCTCCACCTTTCAGCAGAAGGGATGTTGTCAGACTCAATAACTTCTCCTTGAAAACACCATATTGTTTTAAGGGATGGATCTCTGGAAAGGAGGGGGGTGACACAGGGAAGAAATCTAAATGATGCAAAAATAATAAATACCAATAAAGTCTATTTTAAAAACCATTTAAAAAACAAAAACACAAAAAACCCCAGCTGCTATATTCTGGAATGAGTCAGGGCTCACTGACTGCGAAAGACTCATTGCAAGAAACCACTGATCTCCTCACTCTCTGCAGACATGCTCAGACTGCCGTGGGCCCAAAGAATAATCCCCAGGAATCCCCTGGGGAAAGGCCTTGGCTGGGACCTAGGGCCCTTCAGAAGCAGCACATCCTGGGACCTGAGACCTCAGATCTCTCCCTTCTCTTATCCCACCATCCTTCCCAATGGATGGGAAGAACCTTCTCTCTGATGGGTGAAATCACTTATACAAGATAGTCAGTGGCAGAGCTAGGATTTCCCTAAAGTAAAGAGGTGACCATAGCCCCTTCCCTCCACCCCACCTGCCCACAATTTCAGTGACTCCCTATGAACCCCAGGAATGTTTGGCATTTAAAGGTCTTCATGACTAGGCACCAGTCTTCTTACGGCCTCTTCCTCTACGCAGCAACACTGGTTTACTTGCCTTTCCCCAAACTTGACACTCTATCTCCTGCCTTTGTATTAGAGGCAGGTAAATGGTACAGTGGATAGAGTACTGGACTTAGAGTCAGGAAGAGCCCAAATTGAAATCTGGCTTCAGACACTAGCTATGTGACCCTGGGCAAGTCATTTAACCTCTGTCTGCCTCAGTTTCCTCAACTGCAAAATGGGGATAATAATAGCATCTCCATCCAAAGGTTGTTGACCCTGGATAAGTCACTTAACCTCTGCCTGCCTCAGTTTCCTCAACTACAAAATGGAGATAATAGTAGTGCCTCCCTCTCAGGGTTACTGTGAAAATCAGTGAGATAACACTTACAAAGCACTCAGCACATTACCTGGCATATAGTATGTACTAAATAAATGCTTTCCCCCCTCCCCTCTTGTATTGGCTGACACAATACTTAGAATGCTTCCCTTCTTAGTTTCTCTGCCTTTCTTCAAGACTCAGCTCAACTTCTCCCCACTCCAGGAGCCTTTCCTGGTCCCCTAGCTGCTGATGTCTTACGTCTCTGACTACTTTCCACGTATTCCGCATGTATCTAGTATCCACTGAATTGCTTCCATGTTGTCTGTCTCTTTCCACTGCACTTTTCCACACTCCTTGAGGATGAGGACTGTCCTTTCTTATTTCTTCAATCTCTGACACTCGGCGTAGTCCCATAGTAAGTGCCTAATAAATGCTTGCTGACTTGAAAGAATGCTAGAGTTGGAGCCAGAAGCCTTGGGTTCAGATTCTGCCTGTGCCGCTGACTATCTTTTGCAAGTGACTTCACCCATTTCTCCAAACCATGGGGATGACCACTCACTCAGAACCTGACCAGCTCTCAAGCTGTGCCCATCCTTCCAGGAGAAAGAAAATTCCTTGGAGACTCGGGGCTGTTTCATTTTCCCGTTTGTGTCCCCAGGTGCCTTACATAGAGTTGGTGTTTAATCAGTTTAATAAGTGCTCACTGAACTCATTCAGGAAAGACAGCTCCAAAAAGGGAATGCCATCCCAGACCTCATTAAGAGAAGCACGGTGGTCCAGCCCTAGGGAGATGGCAAGGCTTCAGTAATGTCTTTGGCATCTGTACCACCTGCAGGCCAGTTCAAGTCATTACATTTTAAATTTTACTTATTTGTTTTAGGCATTATATTTTAAAAGAGGCTGGAGCCTATGAAGTGATCGTGCTCTCTGAGCATCAGGTAAAGCAGCTGGACCACTTCAGCCTAGAGGACACGATTCTGAACACAAAGACATACGTACACACACAACAGCAGTTTTCAAATCTCTGAAGGTCTGCTCTATAGAGGAGCTGAATGGCTCTGCTCAGCCCCACAGGGCAGAAGCAGGAGAAATGCAGCGGATGTTTCACAGAGAAAGATTGTGGTTTAATGTAAAAACAGAACGGAAAAGCTAACTGCTTCTAACTGTGGCCCAAGCGCTGTGTTTAGTACTGGGGACACAAAGCAAACATGAGACAATCCTGCTCTCACAGAGCCCATGCTCTTAATTGAGAGCGGCATGACTTCTAGGAGAACGAAGCAGCTGAGAAGGCAGAAAGACCTTTGTAGGGGGCAGGGGCAGGGGCAGTACAGATGGCAATGGGTGTGAACAGCCATGCCCACTCTGCAGCCAGAGGGTGGGAGATGCCTGAGCCCCAACCCACAGGAAAAACACCCAATAAACATGACAGCTTCCCAAAAGCAAATCAGACTGCTTTAAAGAGAGCGAGTCCTGTGTCATGGGAGCTATCCAAGTAAAGCCCACTTGTGAGGACGTGCTATACAAGGATCCTCATTCAGGGACAAGCTTAAACTGAGGTAACAACTATCTGACTCTGTGGAGAGAGGACTGAGTTCAGAATTAGGAAGACCTGTGTTCAATGTGGCCTCAGACACTTCCTAGCTGTGTGACCCTGGGCAAGTCACTTAATCTCTGTTTGCTTCAGTTTCCTCATCCATAAAATGGGGATAAAAATAGCACTACCTCTCAGGATTGTTGTGAGGATTAAATGGAAAACTTGTGTCCCGTATTTTACCAACCTTAAAGTGTTAGCTTTAATGTAAATAAATATAGGGGACAGCTAGGTGGCACACTGGATAGAGCACCAGCCCTGAAGTCAGGAAGACCCGAGTTCAAATCCAACCTCAGACCAAACACTTGACACTTACTAGCTGTGTGACCCTGAGCAAGTCACTTAACCTCAATTGCCTTAAAAAAAATGTAAATAAATATAAATGTTAGTTTTTATCATTATTAGATCTTCTCAGGGTCATCTTCAGATAATCTAAGGTTCTAAATGAGTTGCTCAGGGTTGTATAGCTAGTAATCAGATGAGCATCTTCTGAGTCAGAAGCCAGCACTAAACACTAATCAAAAAACATTAAGTTCCTACTATGCACCAGGCACTGGGGATACAAAAAGAGGCAGAAGACAGTCCCTGCCTTCAAGGAGCTTGCAGTTTAATGGGCATGCAAACAGATAAATACAAAGCAAAAGTATAGGGGCAGCTAGGTGGTGCAGTGGATAGAGTACTGGCCTTGGAGTCAGGAGGACCTGAGTTCAAATTTGATCTCAGACACTTGACGCTTAATAGCTGTGTGACTCTGGGCGAGTCACTTAACCCCAACAAATATATACAAAGTAAAGGATAAATAGGAAATAAAAGAGGGAAAAGCAAACACTGGAATTAAGAAGGGCTAGGGAAGGCTTTCTGTAGGACGGACTTGAAGTCAGGCAGGTCAGCAATCCAAGCGGACGGAGAGCATTCCGAGCACCGGGGACAGCCAGAGAAAAATGCCCAGAACTGAGAAATGGAGGGTCCTGCTCCTGGAACAGCCAAGAGGCCCGGATTGCCTGATTAATGACTGGATCAAAGTGGAATAAGGTATGAGAAGACTGGAAAGTTGGAGGGGGAGAGATAGGGCAGTGAGAAGTATCCCATCCCCAGGGTGAGTCAGCTCAGATCTACAACCCACTGGAACGTGAGCACCAAGACGGGAACGTGGGAGGGCTCCCTGGACTTTGCTCTGCTGGACGGATGCCTGGGAAGCACAGGCAAGGAGCCAAGACCAGCGAGTTCTGTATTCACTTTCCTTCCCTGCCCCCTTTAGCCATAGCAGGCCCCGAGCTGGAGCGACCCTTGCAAAAGCGCTGAGGTTACCAAAGCGGTGGGAGGAGAAAGGGCGAACGCAGCTGGGCGAGCCCAGGGATCCTAGGTTGAAGCAGGAAATCTCCACCCCTCCCCAGTCTTCCCCCACCCCGGCAGGAAGGAGAAAGCTAAGCACTGAGAAGCTTGGGTCTGACCAGAACGGGGCCAGCCCCCTCCCTGGGGAGAATCGTAGGCAGCCGGCACAGGACGGCCCTGGCTTCCTAGCCCACCCTTTTAGGAGGAGATGCGGCAACAGGTGTGGGCTACTCCCCACCCGAGGCTCGGCGGAGCTTACACTTCATGCAAATGCAACAGCTGTCAGCTCTTCCCTGGCCTGAACCTGTCCTGCAGCTGTTTGGGGAGGAGGGAGTGAAGTAATAACCACAACTCTCTGTGGCTGGGGGAGAGGGGGGTGGGCTAGAGAGCAAAGACCTGGGGACCCACAGTGGTGAGAGAATGGAGTCCGTATCCAGGCACGTGAGGTTACTGCCTCTCTCCAAGTGGAGATGGGCCTCGAGGCCATGGTTTCTTGGGAAGGGCACTCCTTCTAGGGCCAGGGGACCTGAGGTCAAATCTTGCCTCCAACACAGAATCCTTTTTTGACCTTGGAAAGTCATTTAACTTTCCTGGGCCTTCTTTTCCTCTTGTGTAAAATGAGAGGGTTGGAAAGATGTCGTCCAAGGTCCCTTCCAGCCCTAGCCATTATCCTCTGATCTGCCATCCCCGCGATGAGAGAAACAGCTGAAGGAACTTGGGATATTCAGCCTGGATAAGGGGAGAGGAGGTCACAGTGGCAGTATTCAAATACTTGAATAATAATCCTATTGAACAGCAATGAAACTTGTCCTATTTGGCTCCAGAGGACAGAATTAGAGACAAGAGGGAGATGAAGCAAAGAGGCATATTTGGGCTCAATGTCAGGAAAAACATGCTCACGATGAGAGCTGTCCAAAAGGGGGATGAGCCACCTTGAGAGGCAATGGGTGGGTCCCCCCTCAGTGGATGCTCTCAAGAAGAGGAATGTGCATTCAGTATGAAATCCGTGGTGGACCGCCTTCACGAGGGCATCGAGGCAGTGATGGCTAGACAAGATCTACAAACAACCAACAGTTAGATTTGCTGGAATATAGAGGACATCGAAGGGAATCATGGGGAAAAAAGACTGGAAGTATAGATTGTGCTGGAACTGAGGATTCCAGATTTTAGCCTATTGAAGGTTTTTGAATAGGGGGGTAACTTGTCCTGAGCTATCTAATAAATAATAAGATTTTATAAATCTTATTAAGATTTGATAATTTGATTAAGATTATTGAATAAGATTTTGGTAGTTGTGTGCAGGATGAATTAGAGAAAAGTAGACCAGGGGCAGGGAGGGTATTTCGTAAGCTCATAATGGTAATTGTAAGAAATGGTAAGGGCCTGAATGGGAACAATATTTGATGGATTTGAGAGGGGGAAATTGACAGCATAGAGAATAGATCAAGTGTAGACAGTGAGGGAGAGGGGAGAGCCAAAGATGACTCCAGCGTCTTAAGTCTTGGTGACAGAAAGGATGGCGGCCTCATCAATGGAAATAGGGGAGCTGGGAATGAAGAGCGGGGGAAGGTGTGGGAATTTAATTTTGGACACATTGGGTTGAGTTGCTCCCGGCAAATTCCAAGTAGAGGTGGCCAGCAGGTGGTTGGAAATTGATAGGTTTTCATCTAAGTTTCTCATTTTTACAGACAAGGAAACAGAGGCCCAGAATGGTGATGAGACTTGCCCTAAGTCCATGCCGTAAGTTAGTGTCAGAGGCAGGACTCAGTCTTGCAGTCCAGTGCTTTTTCCCCTTAAAAAGCAACCCTGCTCCTTCAAATGATTATATGTTAAAAATACCCTGGGCTTAATGACCTTCTTAAGAACTCAGAGATTCTTTGTTCTAAGGGACAGCTCTCTAGGAGGGGAGAAGAGAAGGAATCCAGAGGGAAACCTAAGAGATTGGAAGACAAAAGATACCAATAAAAATCTATTGTTTAAAAAAGAACTCAAGGGGCAGGTAGGTGGCGTAGTGCATAGAACTCCAGCCTTGGAGTCAGGAGGACCTGAGTTCAAATCTGGCCTCAGACTCTTGACACTTAACTAGCTGTGTGAACCTGGGCAAGTCACTTAACCCTGATTGCCTCACCAAAAAAAAAAAAGAACTCAGACTTTTAGAAGCTACTTGTCAGGCATATGCTGAGAGGTCCTACTATAGCAGAGAGAAGACAAGCTCTGCAGGCAGGAAGACCAGGGTTCAGGTTTGATCTCTGTGGCCATGTGCACCTCACTTAACTTTTGGAATCTCAGTGTCCATACCAGGGACAGTGCCCTAAGCAGGTCTCTATTGATAATTGATTACAGATGAGTTTTTGATTACAGTGGAGAGAGTTTCTACACTGGGAGTGAAATCAGATCTATACCCAAAAAAAATCCCATGTTTTCTCACTCCTACCCTAGTGTTTTAAGCACTAGGCTATATCAACACTCAAACATGAGAAGGATCTGTGATTTTGTGTTTAGGGGAACTTCTTGAAATACATCTACAATTTAGTAGCTAAATCCTTGAGATCTGCTTGAGCCAATAGAGGTTAAGTGTCTTGGCAAAGGTGCCATAGCCAGAAGTGTCAGAGGCAGGATTTGAACTCAGGTCTTTCTGACTCATAGGCTCCTTAGATTTTGAGTTGGAAGGGAACTAAGCACTCACCTTGCCTAATTCGTCATTTTACAGAAGAAAATGAGGCCTAAGTAGGCTAAGTGATTAGTCTAAGGTATTCAGAGTCTCAGGGAGGATCTGGTTTTCACATTCAGGGCCCTTTCAACTTCACCCCTCTCAGCCCAATCTGAGCACTTTATCCATACGGCTGGGCTGTCTCTATCAAAAAAAGAAACAGATGCCCAAGGCCTATCTCTTAGCCACATGTCCAGTGCTTACTGACCCCCTCCAGGGGGAGTCAAAGCAGTCATAATAATAGACTTTGTACATATCAAACACCTTGGACACAAGAGCTGGAGGAAAGGACGTGGAGCCTCCAACCTCCACCCTTTCCTCCCTGGGTCAGCAACAAAGACTTACTTCCTAGAGTAAGGAGACTGGCCGTGATGAGAAGGGGTCTCAGGCATCTCTCTCTGTCTCTCTCTCTCTCTGTCTCTCTCTCTCTCTCTCTGTCTCTCTCTCTCTCTCTCTCTCCCTCTCCCTCTCCCTCTCTCTCTCTCTCTCCATCTCCCCCCTTAACCCAGCCAACCACAGCAGGACAAGCCATAATGGGAAACTCACGCAGAATAGAGATGAAGCTGCTTCTGTCGGCCAGAATCCATATTCCAAACCCGAGCATCATGGCTCCCAAGACCTAGAATGAAATTGGTGCTAAGTTAGGATGTGAGGGGAGTCAAACTCCTGGAACACTGGGAGCACGCACTCTCTCTGGATTAATATATAAGCCTAGGGACTGGACCTATGATATACACACATCTGTGTGCGTATGTATATGTGCATGCATATACATGAGTGTGTATGTATATATCTCAAACATCAAAAATACATACACACATACACATCTACAGGCATAGCTTGTTTTATTCCAAAAGTTAAAGCGCTTGGCTTATTGCACTCTGCAGATATTGTGATTTTTATAAATTGAAGGTTGTGGCAACCCTGCCCCAGCAATTCTTTTGGCGCCATTTTTCCAATAGCACATGCTCATATCGGGTCTCTGTGTCACATTTTGGTAGTTCTACCAATATTTCAAACTTGGTCATTATTATATTGGTGATGACGATTTGGGATCAGGGATCCTAGTGTGATTGTTTTGGGGTATCACGAACCACACCCACATAAACCGGTGAACTTAATTGATTAATGGATGTGTTCTGACTGCTCCACTGACGGGCCATTCCCAGGCTCTCTCCCTCTTCTAGGGCCTCCCTATTACCCAAGATACAAGAATATTGAAATTAGGCCAGTTAATTACTCTACAATGGCCTCTAAGTGTTCAAATGATGCAAACTTCGTTGTTGTCTTGTTTTAAGAAATTGCCACAGCCCCCTCAACCTTGAGCAGCCCCCACCCCCAAAAAGATCACGATTCGCTGAAGGCTCAGATGACGGTTAGCATTTTTTAGCAAGAAAGTTGCTTTTTTTAAAAATTAAGGTATGTATTTTTTTTTTTTGATATAATACTATTGCACACACAATAGACTTTAGTATAGAATAAACATAACTTTTATATGCACTGGGAAACAGAAAAACTAGCAACTTGTTTTATTGCCATATTCACTTTATTATTGTGTGGAATCAAACCCACAATATCTCTGAGGTATGTTTGTACACATATATATACATATATATACCTGTACATATATGTATACACATATGTAGATCATATTATATCTATGTATATAATGTAGATATATTTATGTCTACATTATATGTAGATATAAAACAAAACGTTGAAGTTATATATACATGTGTGTAAACATGTATAAATGTATGTGTGTATGTGTATATAATATTAGATATAATTAGAGGTATATATGAATATGTATATGATATTAAATAGTAAACATGTTATACACACACTTTTTTTGGGGGGGTGGTCCAGAGTTGTGACTTCAAGACAGAAAACTCCCAGTCAGGATATGCCTTCCACCATGGCAGATTAACAACTGCACTGTGATACCTACTCCCAGAAAGTTACCTGGGGTGCTGAAAGGCTATAATGTGTCAGAGTTGGGAATTGAATCCAGGACTTGGAGGCCAGCCCTCGAGCCATTCTTCTGGAATAATATTGGCTACAATAAGAACAGCAGTTTCCTCCCCTTATAAAATGAGAGGGTTGACCAGGATCATGTTTATGTAGCAGTTTACCAGGCTTGTAGGATTTTAGAGCTGGGAAGCGACCTTTGGAGCCATCTAATTGAATCCTTTCTTTTTATAGATGAGGAAACTGAAACCCAGAGAGTTTTGATGACTTTTCCACATAGGTAGTGCCAAAGTCTGGATCTGAACTCAAGTCCTCTTAGGGCTTAAAAAGTTTTTTACATACATCATCTCATTGAAAACAAGCCTGTGAAGTAGATGCTATTACCACCTCCATTTTACAGATGAGGAAAGTGAGGCCAAGAAAGGTTGTGTGATTTGCCCAAGGTCAACAATCTATTAAAGGTCTAAGGTAGGAGTCAGTCTTCCTGGCACTGATTCCTGATTCCTTGTGAGTCAAACTGATCTATATTAGCACCCAAAGGCTCTTCTGGTTCCACCCAATAACTGACTCATGGCCTAGAGAGGGCTGAACAGACTTGGTAATTATTTTCTCCCCCTAATTCAGAATTAAGGATTAAATAGGATCACAGACATAGAGCTGAGGGGGAGCAGGGTGGTGGTCCGGGTAGCGAGGTAGTGAAGTGGATAGAACACCGGCCCTGGAGCAGGAGGACCTGAGTTCAAATCTGGCCTCAGACACTTGACACTTAATATCTATGGACCCTGGGCGAGTCACTGAACTCCATTGCCTAGGAAGGAAGGAAGGAAGGCAGAAAGAAAGAAAGAAAGAAAGAAAGAGCGAGCTAAGAGCAATAGAGGTCCAGTGACTTGTCCAGGATCACACAGCTTGTTAAATGGCTGAGGCTGGATTTGAACTCAGGTCTTCCTGCCTCCAGGCCCAGTGTTGTCTCCACTGTGACACCTAGCTAAGTCTCAGTTTCCTAATCCATAAAATGGGGATAATAATAGTGCCTGCCTCCCAGGGTTGTTGTTAGGATCAAAGGAGACAATTTATGTAACATACTTTGCAAACTCTTAAGGGTAATAGGAGTGTCAATAATTACTATTATTTTTGAAGGGGCTGTCATACCCATTAACCTATTTGATCTTCACAGTAACACTGTGAGAGGTTGCTGAGGCAGGTGTTATTTGTGTTACAGAGATGAGTGATGTGAAGCTTATCAAAGGGAATCGATTTGTCCCAGGTCACCCAGCACACCGATGACAGAGCAGAGGATGAGGCCCCAGGTCTGAGTCACAGTCTCATCAGAACGAGGAGCCACCCAAGATCGTCTATTCCAAACTCCTCATTTTAGAGAGGGAGGACGCTCATTCCAGGTCATAGCAGCAGAGCTGGGATTCAAACTCTGGCTCTCAGACCCTCAATCTAATGCTTTTTTGACTCGTCTATGCTGCCGTTGTCAGAGGAGCTCCTGTAGATTCCAGCACTTGGATCTCCAGGTAGAGAGATGAGAAGGGGTCTTGGGGGTGTGAGATGAGGTCACTGGAGTAGGAAACAGGGAAGTCACCCGGTGCCTCCAGAACACAATTGGTAGGAAGTAAGTGGGAAGGCTTGAAAGGCTCCAGGGTGAGATAACAAGCTTGACTTCTTTGTGGAGAAGTGATCCCATCTGGGCCCAGTCCCCAGGCCAAGGGACCCCTTCAGATGCTGACTCTGGGAGCTTGACGAAAGGAGGGTCAGACAGAGCCCCTGAAGCTTTCAAGCCATTGTCTCCAGCAGGAACTTGCTAGATTATGAAAGGGAAATGGGCACCCTGGCTGCTACAGACAGCAAGGATAACACCCCCTTCCCTCGAAAAATGCAGATAAACACAAAAAGGGTGGGGGAACAATGGACAGAAAAAAATAATCCTAAAAAATCTGAGCCCACACTCTCCAGACTCCTTGGCTGGGGCTATTGGGAGCAGGAGAAAGGAAAGGTCCCCAGCTCCCAACCTTCCCAGGCAGGGCCTTCTGTGTTGTAGCAGGCTAGCTCAGGAAGGGCGCTTCCAGGCCCAACCAGCCCACCCAAGACCAGCCAGGGCTGGGTCCAGGCTCAAGTCAAGGTCAAATCAGCGAGCTAGGAGCCAAATTAGGAGGCCTGGGAACCTTGGAAGGGGACAAGTCCTTCTGTGTCTCAAGATTCAGGCTCAGACCCCTCTGAGGTCCCACCCGCTCCTAATTTGAGACCCTCCCCCAAGGTCAGCAGTGGGAAAGAGGCCCAGGGGGACAGCTCTGCTCCTTTGGCTTCACTAGCACAATACAATCACATCATACCCAGGCATGTACTTAGCGCCTGCTGTATGCAAAGCATTAGGAAAGATACAAAGTTTAGTTACTACACATCCACACATATTACAACATATACATATATATACACACATTCATATATATGTGTGTGTATTCATAGAGAGAGAGAGAGACAGAGAGAAAGACAGAGAGAGAGACAGAGAGAGACAGAGAAAGACAGAGAGACAGAGAAAGACAGAGAGAGAGACACAGAGAGACAGAGAAAGAGAGAGAGACACACAGAGAGAGACAGAGACAGAGAGAGACAGACAGAGAGAGAGAGACAGACAGACAGAGACAGAGAGAGAATACATACAAGGAAGACACAAGATGGGCTTGGAGGGGTTGAGAAAGTAGTAGTAACTGGTGGGATCAGACAAGGCCTTCTGCAGAAGGTGAGTCTTCGAGGGAGGAGAGCTTCCAGGAACGGGAGACAGACCGTGCAAGGTGCTGGAAGGAGATGGCAGATGGAGGGTCGGCTGGTTGGGCCGGACCTGAGAGCTCATGGAGGGAGGTAATATATGACAAGTGAGGCCGGTGCCAGGCTGTGCAGAGCTCGGAGTGCCAAACAGAGAAGTTTACAGTCTACCATGGGGCTACAGAAAGGATTCAAAGACTGAGGGGGATGAGGAGTGAGGAAAGAAAAATGGAGGTTAGTCTCTGCCAGATGAGACTGGTAAAGGTTCCAAGTCGGTCCCATTCCAGATTCCGCCTTCAGTCTGGGCTGGCGCCCTGGTCAGATAATAAACAAGAGATAGGGCCATGGCCCAGCAGACCAGGTCACTCGCGGGGCATGCCCCAGAGGATATGATCTCCTTTACCTCCCTCCCCTGGGCATGTGTGAGCACACTCTGCATCTTCAACAGAGTCTGGAGGCAGCTGGGTTCGAGAGTTTGCCTAACATGGAAGGTGGGGGGAGGACTCACCAATCAGCTCAGCACCTCTCCCCCATTTCCTCTCTCCTTCCCTTCACAACCCTCCCGCAGGGGCCTCCGTGCCTCCCATGCACACCAGGCGCCAGAACAGTCCTCCCTTTCACAGTGAATGATCTCCTTAATGGAGAACCCAAGCCGAAGAATCATCAAGGCCCATCTAGGCCCTCAGGAGAGAAAAGGACTATAAGTCCAGTCTAGTCTTTGGTTTTCCTAATCTTTTAGGCAACAGAGCTGCTCCCCAAGTGGCCAGCACCAAAGATGCCTTCCCCCTTGCCCTTGTACCCCACAAGGACTGACAGGGATTGGGATCATTGGGTCGGAAGGGATCTCAGAGGTCATCTCCTCCAATCCCCTCATTTTACAGATGAGGAAACTGAGACCCAGAGATGTTTATATGTAACTCCCTCCTTTTGAAAATAGTCTCAGAGGAATCACCCTATCATTCAGTGACTGTCAAAGCTCCTACCGTTAGAAAATGAGCTCCTTCAGGGGAGGGACTGCCTTTCTTTCTGCTCATACCATACCCCACCCCCCACCCGGCCTTCGCACAGTGCCTGGCTCATAGTAACCTCTCAATAAATGCTTGTTGACTTGACCATACTTTCTGCACTATGATTCCTCTCTGTTCCAGTAATGGGATTCTTTTAATAAGGCAGTGATTATTTTCTTCCCTCTTACAGCACACTGTCACGTAGTTCCCTAAAACAAGATCTTTTTTTCCCTATTTTGACATATTGATGGATGACAATGTGATGGATGCCACATTGGAGTTGTTCCAATTTGCATTTCTTTAAGGCTGAACCTTTATTTTTTTCAAGTGCTTATTTATAATCTGTGCCCCCTCTCTAACAAATCCCCTTGGCAAAGCCCAGGGGATCCTTCATTTTTGCAGGAGGGGTGACAATCCCTTCTATCAAAGGCCAAGACCTTCCCAATATGGCGGCACTGTGGCAAGCATGCCTGCCTTGAGTCAGAGGACCTGAGTTCAAATCTCAGCTCTGCTACTTACTCCCTGTGCATGCTGGGCTGAGATATTGCTCCTTTCTGGGCCTCAATGTCTTGTTCTATCAAATGCGGGGAAGTGGGGAGCCTTGATGATCCCTAAGGTCTCTGCCAGCACTAAATCTATGAGCCTATGCTTCAAAGGTCCCTTCCAGTTCAAGGTCTAGTACCCCATAATTGGCTGTCAAAACCTCATATTCTACATTATTGATGAGGCAGCTAGGGTTTCCGTACATAGAGTATTGGACTGGGAGCAATCAGAAAGACTTGAGTGTGAATTCTGTTTAGTCATTTTAGTCCTGTCTGACTCTTCATGACCCTATTTGGGGTTTTCTTGGAAGATATACTGGAGTGGTTTGCCATTTCCTTCTCCAGTTCATTTTACAGATGAGGAAACTAAGGCAAACAGGGGCAAGTGACTTGCCCAGGGTAACATAGCTAACAAATGTCTGAAGCCAGATTTGAACTTAGCATTATGTGTTCTAGACTCCAGGCCCAGCGCTCTATCCACTGTACCACCTAGCAGCCCTCAGAGTTTGACTCCTATGTCAGGCATTTATTATCTGTGTAAATCTAGACCAGTCATTTAATCTCATGCAGCCTCTATTTCCCCATCTGTAAAATGGGCATCATCAAAAGACCTGCCTTACAGAGTTGTTGTAAGGACCAAAATTCTAAATAAACACTTGAAAGAATGTTCAACTATTAAAAAAAAAAGCAAATAAAAACAGCTCTGAAGTATACCTCACATCCATCAAAATGTCAAAATATGAAAGGAAAGACCCCTGTCTTTTCTTAGAGAGTTACCTGGCCATGCACTGCAAAATATGGAATCTTAACCTGGGCTGTGAACTTTAAAAATAATATATTTTGATAATTGCATTTTAATAGAATCGGTTTCCTTTGCTACCCTCTGAATTTCATTTTATGCATTAAAAACATCCTTCTGAGGAGGAGTCTACCAAGAGTTAAGGGTCCATAATATAAAACAAGCTAAGAAAAATAAGATAATTTTGCAAACTTTAAAAAGTGCCACCTGAATGCTAGCAAGGATCATTATCCTCACCATCCACATCAATTACCATGGTTCCTCCCACCCAGCACTCTTGGGATCCAACCAGCTGTTGTTGTCCCAAAAGCGCAGAGTCCCTCCCTGACTCAGAACCCTCAAGCCTGGGTCAAGGGTTCAGTGCCCGCCTGCTGGCCCTTTAAGGCAGCCAGCTCAGCCAGAGCAGGGAGCCAGGAAGCTCAGTGCTTGCTGCCCAGAGCCCAGCTGCTTCACGTCACCCACTGAGCAGGGCCAGGAGAGGCCCCCATCCCAGTCCTGGCAGGGTAAGGCCAGCTGTACAGTGCTGAGGCCGGCAGTTCTAAGCCCCCTTCTCTGCCCCCTTCAGCTCCCTGGGGGAGTGGGGATTTTTTCCCTTCTGTCTCCTCCTCCTCCTTCTCTTTCCTCCATACAAAATGTGGGAAAATACTTTGGCTCAGGAGCTGGAGCCATTCTGTCCTCTCCCTCCCTATCCTAGCAGCTCCAGGCCAACTCTTTGTGGGCCCAGAAGGCTGGTTCCAGGATGGGTGGGAGGGCACAGTGCCCAGAACTCAGCCCTAGAGAGGGAGCTGGAGCTGGGTTACTACAGGGCAGGGCATGGACGTACCCATTGTGTGATTGTGTGGGAGACAAACATAGCCTTCCCTGCCTCTCCCTGGGGCTCAGTACCTGCTGTTGGCCCAGCCAGAGCCTAGGTATGATCTCCCAGATTGCCAGGGTTCTCCTCCTTTCCCTTTCTCCTTTCTCTACTCCCACCAAACACTCCCTCCCAGTCCCTGGAACAACCATGAAATAAGCATAATTAGTAATCTTTGGGAACTGGGAGAGGCCCAGGCATGTATGAACAATGAAGGTTCATAGGGTAATAGATTAACAGCCAGGAGGGACCTTGAGGACTGTCAAGTTCACTCCTCTCATTTTTACAAATAAGGAGACTGAGGCCCAGAGAATAAGTGACTTATCCAAGGTCATGTATGTAAACATCAGAACAGGGATTTAAACCCAAGTCCCCTGATGCCCAATCCAGCACCACATGACAGGCCTACCTTTCTTCCCATGACACCAACACCTCCCTCATCTCAACAGGGCATATGTAGCAGTCACAGAATAAGGATTGACTCCTATTCAAGGGTCTCCTCAAGGGTGCAGCCTCCTTCCAGAGGCCTTTCTTGACTCCTCAATTGCTGGTCTCACACTCACATGCACACTAATGATTTTGTATAGATCTTGAATTTATTTCTATGTCAACATATTGAATGGTCACATCAATAGAATGTAAATTCCTTGAGGGTAAGGTCTGTTTCACTTGTGTATCTGTATCCCCAGTCAATCAATCAATAAGCATTTATTATGTACCTACTATGTACCACACATATATAAAGCAATAGAGTGTCTACATATGTGAGGGCAACTCCCCTCCACACACACATACACACACACACACACACGCACGCACGCACGCACGCAGGATGGTTCTTTAAAATTTTATCCCAGGGATGTCAAAAGCCACTCTATGACTACCGATCAATGGGATCAATGGAATTCTGGTAGCTTCAGAGGTATTCACTGTATGCCTGGAGAGGGAGTTAAAAAAAAAAAAAACCAAGCCCAGGAAAAACAAGATCCAGATGTGCCAACGAGCCAACATCTGGGCTTCTGCTCTAGCAGAGAGGCCTTCTGGCCTCTAGGGGCACGGTGAAGGCTAATGCACATTTGGGGTGGGTGAGAGGACAGAGAAAGAGGAGATCCCCCTGCTCCTAAGCATATTTCCCCCAAACAAAGATATCTGCTGGGCTGTTGAGTGAGGTCCTTCCTTGGGTGAGGTTCCCCTCCCTGGAGGGTGTCTGAGCTCCACTGCCATCATGGACACATGAGTTTTGGCTAACCATGAAAAAGGAGCCTTCCCACTCAAGTCTCAGGCCCAGTATGGCAATGACTCAGAGGTCCCAAAGGCATGGGGTAGAACTTTCCCCATAGGGGAAAGGAACTAAAATTGAAACGTGAAAGTTTGAGGTAGAAAGAGGAGGCGGGGATTGGGGAAGAGGAGGGTAAAAAATCTAAAAAGAGGCAAGTCAGGAAAATGACATCAGAGGGGTGAAGGGGCTTGCCCAAAGCCACATGGGTAGCAGGATTCAGAGGTGGGATGGGAACCCAGGTCTTTCAACACCAACTTCGATGCTCTTCTCATACCACGTTCACAGCCTGCTCTTCTTGAATACTCCCCTGGGCCACAAGGAACCACTTTCAACAGTCCTCAGCATGAAGCTTTCTTTTGCCCTAAAGCTGGAGGATTTCTAGAGAGGAAATCCTGGTTTCTTGGAAGCTCTGCCTCCAAGGATGGGAGAAGATGCCCCACGGGAGGGAAACGGAGGGGTGTTTGATGTACTTACAAAAAAAAGCAGATTGAAGAGGAAGAGAAAGTACTTGGTGACTTTGATGCAGCCAGACCCCATCCTTTGTCACTGACAGGCCCTAGGGAGAGGAGAGAAGGCAGATGTGAGTGAGACGCCCTCAGGATGTCGGCTCCTTCCCTCTATTTTTACAGGGCCATTGGAAACTCTGGTCCATCAGGGACTCTGGACACGGGGGCCAACAATCTCCATTCCACCAGGGATGGGCCGAAGGACAGTTACAGACAGCACCAGTGCTCAACCAAACTCATCCCATATGTAGGGAAGTGGCCTGGCAAAGCAGACAGCAGAATGAATGCCAGGCTTGGAGTTAGTTCATCCAAAACACTTATAGTTGTGTGACCATGGGCAAGTCACTTTAACCTCCAAGCCTCGGTTTCTTCATCTGTAAAATGGAAATAATATAGTGAGTACTACCTACCTAACAAAGTTATTGAGAGGAAAGGCCCTTAGCAAACCATTAATTAATTGAGCTGGGGGATCAATATTGGCTTGGATACTTACTAGCTGTATGACCTTGAATAAGTGACTTAACCTCCCTAGTCCCCAGTGTCTTCATTTGCAAAACAAGGAAGTTGGACTCAATTACCTTCCAGCCCTAAACCTATTATCCTATGAACTTTAAAGTTGACAAAGTATTTGCCCTCTGGCAGCCCTGTGAGGCAAGGAGTGGAGCATGAATAGCTCCTCTTTTCCAAGGAGGAACCTAGGGACTTGCCTAAGGCCACACGCAGTTAGGACGCCCAGAGTTGGAACCACAGGCAGAACTCTGTCAACACTACCTCACTGCCTCCCAAGTACTGCAGGTCACCCAAACCACAAGAGCCGGGATGCGTGGAGAACCAGACGGTCTGGAGACGACGACGAAGGAGGGAGAGGGGCCGCCAACAGCTGGCCTCCCAACACAGAGCAACTGGCCTGGCCCCCGTGGAACAGCTGCGAGGGAGAGGAGAAGGGGCAGAGGAATGTGGGCCCCGGCCCATGCAGCAGAATCGGTTCCCTTTCCAAACACCTGCCTGTTTGTTGGTGAGAGTGAAAAGAGGAAGAGCCCCCAGCCTCCAGCCTGCACCCCCAGACCCTCGTCAAGCTTGGACTGACCCAGGGCACCGGGATAAGCAGTCTGGTCGTGGTGTTTATCGTCTCCTCCCTTGGCAGGAATAGAGAGAAAAGAGAAGAGCTCTGGGGGACGTGCCCCTCCTCTGGTCCCCAGAGGACCCCCTTCCCCACCCACTGCTCCTCACTGAAATGCTTGGAATCCTCACTTATCATGCTCAGGCATGTGGGGTGCTGAGGTCAGCTTGGGAATTCCAGGGTTGGTGACTCAGGAAACAGGGAGAACCCATCCAGAGCTCTCTCCCACCCCACCCTCAAACTCTGAAGAGTCAGTGCCCAGAGCTTTCCCTTCCTCCCCCTCTCTCCCCAGCTCCCCAAGCTCGCCTCCAGGCCTATTCAGGGCTCCATTTACCAATAGTCTCAGTCTCTTAATCTTCTATCTGCTGCAGGAAATGGGTGGTTTCCCCCTTGGGTTGCCGTTACTTTCCTTTCCATCAAACAAAAAGTGATCTTGGCAACAGAACCAGGTCATTGTATATGGAGGGGAGGAGGGGCAGGTGGAGGGTGTTCTCAGGGTCTGGAAGGGGCTATAGGGATCATTCAAGCCAACCCCGTCTTTATAGATGGGGAAACTGAGGTCCACCGAGGGAAATTACTTAGCCAGGGTCACACAGGGTAAAACAGAGGTAGGATTGGAATCCAGGTCCTCCAAATCCAGCCCTTTCCACTATATTGAGCCACGCCCCAGGCCCGTGTAACTTCCTCGTTCATAAAACAAGGAGGTTTGTAGGATTTAGAGCTGAAAGCAGCCTCAGAACGGAAGGGAATGAGTATTTACTAAGCACCTACTACGGGCCAGGCACTGTGCTAAGCACTTTACAGATATTATCTCATTTGATCCTCACAACAACCCTGAGAGATAGGGGCCATCATGATCTCCACTTTACAATTAAAGAAATTGAAGGACACACAGGTTAGATGACTTACTTGTCCAGGGTCACACAGCTAGGAAATGTCTGAGGCTTCATTTGAACTTGGGTCTTCCTGACTCCAGGCCCTGCTATCTATCCACTGCATCACTTAGTTCAAACTCTTTATCATACAGACAGGGAAACTGAGGCCTAGAGCCTTTGTCCAAGGTCACCAAGTGGCAGGGTCAGGATTAGAATCTAGCTTTCCTAACCTTCCCCCAACCTAAGCTCCCTCTGGGGCCAACCCGAGAGAGCCTGAAGATATATTTAAGTTAATGACTATGTATATATTTCACCATACATACTGTGTATAAACACTAGATAAGTTTATTTTTCCCTGTGATGAAATGTTATCAGTGTGGGGCCCTCCCAGAGTGGGAACCTTCCTCTGCTGATGCAGACCAGCGCCAGCTCTGCAAGCCGGGGTCTTGGAGAGGTTCCTGGGGACACTCAGAGGTTAAGTGACTTGCCCAGGGTCACACAGGTACTTGGACCATGGCAATAACTTCTCCCCTCTTGCCCATCTTCCATGCCACAGTCAAAGTAATTTTCCTTAAGCACACAGATTACCATGTCACTGCCCTCTTTAATCAACTCCAGTGGCTTCCTCCTGCCTCCAGGATAAAATGAAATCTCCTTTGTTTAGATTTTAAAGCCATTAACAACCTGACCCCAATCTACCTTTTAAGTCTCCTGTATGTCATGCCCCTCCAGCATGCTCTGGACCAGCCTAACGGGCCTTCTCCATCTCCCATCTCAGAAGCCTTTATGTCGGCCATCCCCTAATGCCTGGAATGAGCACCATCTTCATCTCAGGCTCATTGAGACACTCTCTTCTTTCAAGATACGGCTCAAGCATCAGCATCTACCTCTAGCCTTTCCTGATCCCCTCACCAGCTAGGGCTCCCAAGTCCCCTTGTATTTAACTGCTATGAATTTATGTTTTCTTTATGTTTATTCTAAGCTTACACATATATAGCTAGGTCCATATATAGATGTGGGCATATATTGTGTTTATATGTGTATATTTATATATGTATTGTGTTTATATATGCTTGTGTTCATGCATGAATATATATTATATGTACAGGTTCATTTATATGGACATTGCATTCATGTATGTATGTATGAATGTACACATGTGGTCATATGCGTACGTTGTTGATGTGTATAGATTTGTACTGCATATGTTACGTGTGGGCATGTGTGTTTTATCTGTATGTGTGTGCATACATGTATACTGTACATGTGTGTTGGTTTTCCCAATTACGTATAAAATTCTCCCCAAAATATACATATTTGTATCCCGAATTAGAATGTGATCTCCTTGAGGGTATTAATTCAATCTGATTTTCGAAAATCCAGACTCTAGGACAGTGCCGGGTACATCTTCACAGTAGGTGCTTAATTGATGTTTATTGATAGCTAATTGCCCTACAATCCCACAGAAGATGTCAAGTGAGGAAGAACCCATTTGTTCCTCCAAGGCAGCCCATTCCACCTCTGGATCACCTCAGGGATGGGCTGGAGCCCATCCTTAAATGTTCAGTGTGAGCTTTTACTCCTCAGGAAATCAGCAAATGCTACAAATGAGGGCTTGAATGACTGTTTTGTCGGTTGTCTAGACTTAAGAAGGTGAATTCAGATTAAACTTTAAAAGCCTGTTCTGAGGACATTTGTTTCTTTGTTTTTTCCCCCGAGAGCCAGTTGTTAAATATTCACCAGCACACTCACTTCTGGATAAATAATTACAAGCAGGAAATATGTCCCTCAGTGGAAATTTGCCTTTTCCGTAACTTCCCCTCATTGTTCCCAATTCTGCCTCCCTGGGAAGGAGAAAGGTTTCTGAAGGTCAGGAGATGTTGGCCACCAAGAAGAGGTCAAGCTTGTGAGGAACAAGGGAAGTCAGGGAGGAGTTCCATTTGGGCCAGAAAAGGACCAGGGGAGATATCATTTGGGGAGACCAAAGAAGGTCACTCAACGGGGACTAGAACAGAGGCTGGTTCTCACGCTAACTTCTTTAGCATCCCTCTAGGCCAGAGCACCTAGGCTTGAGCCCTGGGATGTGGAGGACTTTCAACCTGACCCAATCTCTGAATCAAGTTTGTCTGCTGACCTTGAATCGTAGAGCCTCAGAGGCTGTCTGAGATTACCTCCCTTTCATATTGCAGGTATCTCACAAGTGTGTGAGTTATTTACCTATAGTCTCTTCCCATTAGAATGTAAGCTCCTTGAGGGCAGGGACGAGTTTGCTTTTCTTAGCATCACTGTGTTTAGCACAGTGCCTGATACATAAGAACTAGATTAAATCTAGTCCCATCCCTTCATTTTACAGATGAAGAATTAATGCCCAGAGACAGAAAGACTGCTCATACTCACAGGGATAGTGATGTTGAATGCAGCTGACTATGAAATGGCCTTGCCTGATCCCAGAGCTATGAATTGCCCGAGGGCAACTGAAACCAGTTAAAAGGAGAACTCTGGAAATCAGCTAAAAAAAAGAAAGGCCCCCCCTTTCCAACCAAATCATACCACTCCCCAACCTCCTCCAGCCTTCTCCCCAAACTTGCAGTTGTTATGTAAAACAACTCACACAACAGCTTCCCCAGGCTTCCCTCGGGGCTCCCTCCCAGTTGAAGTGGATTTAACCCTGCTGCCGCTCCACCCCTCTTGGGCACTCCAGTACTTTGGTGCTGCATGGTGGCCCTGGTTGCAATTCCCTTAAACTCTATTAAAGATCCCAGTTTTTGCTCCTTCGGTAGTATTCTTTACTTCAGGTTGACAGTGACTAGAAGAAACAGCATTCAAACACAAGTCCTAGCATCGTTGATTTAGAGCCAGTCTAAAATTGGGAAATGTTTAACAAAATAAATTAAAAAATACAATACAACATAGATAATGTTCATTTGTGGTTTTTTAAGTCAATCTGTAGCTAGACGGCACAGTAGATAGAATGCTGATCCTGGAGTCAGGAAGACCTGCGTTCAAATCAGGCCTCAGACGCTTACTAGCTGTGTGATCCTGGGCAAGTCACTTA